ATGAATCCATCTACCAAAATCCAATGTCCGAAATAGCTACTGCGTTGTACCGTTATGACGCTTTCGACGGCTTTGTTTAGCGGAGTCAAGTAGTCATAAGTCGATACTGAGTCGAGAAGCCGTCGTCTTCGTTCCCTGGTTTGTCGCTTATCCCGCTTTACCTGCCACGCTCCTATTTCGTTATGGTTATCTGTTCGTGAAAAGAATCCTTTCAGCTTCCACCGACTGTCTGTAACTTTTCCCGTCCTTTGCTCTAGAGTTGTCGATCTTGATGATCAATCCAAGCTTTGGAGTGCGATAATTCTTCCTTGATATAGTCACTACACCTTCTGATATCGTCGGTATCGGGTTTAAGCCCCTGTTCCAAAGGCCGCTAGAGAGTATTGAAGAGGTATATTTGCCCTTCTGCAGGGACGATTCAATCTCTAATCACGAGGCAAATCAACGTACATTGGCGCCGGATGACCTCTGTCACGTGCTTGCAAAAGCGAAGAATGGATGCGTAGAAATTGTTGGGCCTGGAAGATGAACAAGAGATCATTGGAGGATTTCATTGGAAGGATCTGCCGGAGAGAAGACTGTAAATTTGACGAGGTACTAGATATGATATGTCTAAGCTTTAGCTGTGCCCTCTTCACTTTCTCGGGCGAGAATTTCCCGGTCTCTCTTCGTCTTCTTCTCGTGCGAAATGGCCAGGACCATATTTGTTAAGAATATTGCAACAAACAAGATTAGGCGTGTAGCTCATCAGGTCATCAGGTCGACCCCTGACCTGATGACCTGATGAGGTCAATTTGGTTATGCCCAGTAATTACCAGTAATTACTGGTAGTTTACACCGTAAATTGAAAATTTTGAAACTCCCACTTTTGTCATGTGATCACAAAAAGCTCATCAGGTCGAAATTGGACCCACTTTTTTGACCTGATGAGCTTTTCGTAGTCACTACCAGTAGTGACTAGATAAATGGATATTTTCATAATTTATCAAAAATGTGAGTGACCTGATGACCTGATGACCTATTACTGGGCATGACTGGTAGTGAGAGGATGGAAGCAGACATAGCCTGGAAATCTCGGTACTATCTTAAAGCTACTAGTTTAGATTGAAATTTTGAAATCTATCTTTTATCGTGTGTACCCTATTCTGAATAATATATATCTCAACATCAATGTTTCTAAATCTAGTTGTAACATAATTGGTAAAAGTTTCATTCTAGATTCTTCTTATCACTTATAAGGATAATGGGTAGTCACTGGTAACTCCTGGTGGCGACTAGTGTATCAGACTACTAATAATTACCTAAAGGATAAATATAGGGCTAGTAAGGGGGTAAGAATCTTAAATATATTGAGAAGGGAAGTAGGTATAACTGGTGGAAATATATAATAAAGTGAAAGTAGTTACTTAAAGCTCCTTGTATTGCTAGGTTCTTTCTACAGAGAACTAGTTCCGCTAAGTAGAATTGGCTTCATCTTCTGCGAGATCGGAAAAATTCCTTTGCAACATGACCTAGCTCACTTCTTGTCTGGCTTAACCTCTCATCGATCATACCCATAAAGGTGTCTAGATCATCGTCCTCTGGGGTAGCTAGTGACTGGTGATCACTAGGTGCCAATGGTAAGCTACCCTGGGAATGAGCTTGAAGGGTCACTGTATCGCTAGTAGAAGCCTGTGAAACTGATCTTGACTGGTAGTCACTAGGCACTAGTGTTGAGCTAGCCTGGCGTGATTGTAAAGGCGAAGGAAGAGGCGGTGAGCTAGACCAAGTCTGTGGACTTGACTGGTGAGTCCCCAAATCGATCTCATATGGTAGAGAGTGATCGTTACTAGTAATACTAGCTCTGCTCGGAGGACTGTCTGTGTCATTCAGAAGATGATATCCTAGTTATTACCGGTAAGTAATAGATATATCTGGAGGCTCCCTAAAGGATAAAATACCTTCGAGTGATAACTGATTTGCCTTTCTCTTCCGTGAAGTAGCAGTCGTAGGTCTTACTGGAACTGGTGTCTGCAGTAGGGTTTGAGTATTAACCTCAAAGATTCTCTGGTGGCGTGACTAGTCACTATCAGTTAATATCAGAAATGTATGATAGTAGCTAGTCATACCTTGTCGCGGACGAGTCGCAGAGCGAGAAGTTGGTGTTGTAACTGCATGAGTTGGACGCACACCAAAGCGAGAATAGCGATGGAGATCCTCAAAAGACCGAAGATCTGATTGGTGAGACCTAGAAGCTACTGTTAGTCACTGAGAAATACTAAAGATAAAATAACTTACTCCTGAATTGCTGGGCGAAGTTGAATTTGAATGCCACTCCGATTAGTTGTGGCATGCAGTCCTTCAGTAAGATTGGTATGTTTTGGAAACTTCTTGAAGTGACTGGTAGGCATCAGTGAGAAGGCGGGGTTTAGACCTGAAAGAATCCATGGACGGATCTTATGTGTAGCCCAACTAGTAACACCAGGTGTTAAGGAGCCTTTAAGACCGTTTAGGATCCTCATACAGCCCTCTTGGGAGGGAACAGTAAGGATTGATTTCATCAGGTGGTAATCAGGAGCTCTGCGGAACCGATTCAGATTTCGTTGGAAGTGCACCTGGCAGTACAAGAAGATAGACTGCACGTGTTGTTGCCATGTCCGGGTTGGATCGATTGTTGTAAGATAGTGCCCGAAGCCTATTGATGTAACCGGTTATTACATGGAGTAACCAGTCACTACAGGTACTTACCACTTGCTTGCTTAGCACACATATCCACAATGACCGCCTGGATCCCATTCCGATGGATATGATGCCATTGGACCGGAGACCGAGCTACCTCTGCGATCTTCTGAAAGAGTGCTTTAAACAGTTCAAAATACATCTCAGTAGAATCGCAATTGACAAAGACACGTGCGAGCACGATCACTGAAGAAAATATTAGTTGTTACAGGTAGCGTCTTGTTATAACCAGTAGTAACAAGTAGCCCACTTACCTTGTCCAAGAGTGTCGTCCTTAGTGACAAAAACAACCTCATTGATATTCCCTGCAACCCGTTTAAAGGTCATATCCATCTGGAAGAAATGGATTTTAGCCCAATACTGGGCCTGCGCTAGGGTAAAGCAGATAATCCGTATGTTGTTGCCGTTGGTGTACATCTCCTGGATATACATCTCACAAGGAGATGATGATTCCTGAAGATATTCAAGGTAGGTACCTAGAAGCTATCAGTAAGGAAATATCATAGCTTGTCACACGTAGTAATTACTAGCCCAACCCTGACCAAGAGGATTTACTAGAATCCGGTGCTTTCTGATCAGTACTCGTACCATATCGCGACATCCAAGTGAAGGGTGTAGGGCTGCGAAATTTGGTAACTGGTAGCGTGCGAGGAAATCTCTGACAACATCGCTGCGAATAAATCGCCCTAGAAGTGACTCGTTATAACTAGAAGTGACTATCTGGTACCACTACCTACCATGAGTAATCTGTCGCTGGTCGACCTTTCTGATAAGATCTTGCACACTAGACACAATATGATGTGGGGTCTTTGTCATTGGTGGTGGTGGATGTGAATGTGTGCCCCAAGATGCGTAGACAATAAGCGGTAGTGCTGTAAGGTTCTTTGGTTTGATTACCATAGTTTTAACCTCACAGCCCTGGACTTCGATCATGTCAGGTCCATGTGCACCTAGAAATACAGAGTTACTACCGATATTTATTGGTGAGGAAATTTACTTACCACAAGCTGTCAGGCGGCTACTAGGAGCAAGAAGTGTCTCGCAGTCCTGGTTAGTGATAAGTGGAGGTTCGGCATTGTTAAGAATAAGGTCCCTTAAGTAATCAATGTCCAGTCCTTCAAGGGTTGGTAGCTTGAAAAATAGGTGTCTCCTGCTCCTTTGAAGAAAGAACTGGCTACAACCAATAAACCATCCAGATCCCTGAAAGATTACTAGTGGTTACCAGAAATAACAGGAAAGAACAACTTACATCTTGAAATTGGCGTAGCACCATTTGTCCACCCTCGCATTGCGTGCCACATATCTCCTGGTAGCGACTTTTCTGTTCAAGAAATATGTTGTAGGTTGATATCCGTAGACGATCAGAGGCGGCAACGCGAGCTCTTGCGGCTAGAACTCGCTCGCGGTCATCGTAAAGACGGTCCCAGAGACTCTCAGTCACATCTGTATGCTCGTAGTCATAACGAATATGGGATGCGAGCTGTTTGCAGACTTTGACTCCGGAGCACTGCCTTCTGATAAATGTGCAAAGGCTATCATTGAGTAAGGGGCAATTTTTCTCTTTCTGCCATCTCTGGTTGTTCCTAGTACCATTCCCATATTGTACATCAGCATATGCGATCTTCACATCATCTTCTGGTAGGTGCCGGATATCAACGATATAGGCAACACCCTCAGGGTGGGTTATTGGGTATTCCGGGACTGCCTGGGTGTATGCGATAAATCGGACACGGTCAAATCCTCCAGTGAGAGGCTTTTGAGAGATCTTATACCCCGCAGGATATTCAGTAAAGACATGAGATAAATTAGTAGAGTTATCAGGCTGCAGGGAAGGACTTGGTGTTTCTGGTGATACTTGATTATCACTCAGTTCAGGAAAGGTAGCAAGCTCATCTCGTAGTCGCTGCGGAAGATGAGTATTACTTCCCCAGTCATCCATAGGCGTCGCCATAATAGAAGTGGTGTAGTCAGGAGATACCGGAAGTAAATAGATTGTCAAAGATAGATCTTAGGGGGTAATCAGGGGTATTCGGGGGAGGGATAAAGGGTAAGTAAAGAGTGAAGATGAGAGGCTATAGAATAATAGGTATTTGAATAATTAGGTAAGCTTATAGAGGGGAGAGGGGAGGAAATTCTATTTCTAGTAGCGACAAGTTATGACATAGATTTACTTGTAGTGAAGAAATCATTAAGGGGTATCATAGAATCTGGCTATCTTAAGCTCTCATAGGAGAGAAAATTACTATCCCGTAATATCAAAGTGTAACTAGAAAATCCACGCCCTAACTAGGGACATCAGGGAAAAGCTCCATATCAGGATCATCATTATCATCCACAGGGATAGGCGCAGGTCCGGGATCAGTAGTTGTAGGCGTAGGAGTAGTCGCAGGCACGGGAGCAGGGGTACTAGAAATAGATTGTCAGTACAAGTCATAACAGGTCGGTCCCTGAAAGACTACTAACTTACACAGCAGTCATAGAGCCGGTCCGGCCAGGAGGCTTCCAGTTGCTATTAGATATTAGCAGTAGTTCCTTCGAGTTACCAGTTATTATTTGTACTCACAACCAACCCTTACTATCCTTCAAAGAGACCACATAAAGGCCGAGGAAAGTGTCCTCATTCTAGAGTATCAATTAGTAACTAGTAATGGCCTGTATCACCCAGTACTTACCACATGCTGTTTCTCAATGTGCTTTCGGATGCTGCCACCTCTACCAGTAGCTGTGCCAACTGTGGCTTTCAGGCCGCTACCAGTAGTAATAATTAGCTCTGCAACGTTTCAAATTATGACTTGAAATACTTACGGACAGTAGGCGCAGTAGGGGCAGACAACTGCGCACGGGGGAATAGCCTAAGGCCACATTAATATTGGTAAGGACAAGTAACAACATACAACAACCACTTACAACTGGTCCAGATCGAGGAAATTCGGTGTAGCGGGTGTCCTTGTGGTCCTCCTCGGCGCAACGGCAAATCCACTTCACACTAGTAATAACCTGTCAGGAAAAGTCGCAGGATTTGATAACTAGTACTTACTCGAAATCCTGACGCAGACTCACACACCTTTCCGGGTTCTGATCGACGGCAGCGGTAACACGTGCTACCTGGTTAGGACCAGGAGCAGCCAGGAGAGGAAGATCGGACCGTCGAATGTTACTAGTAGCAACAGGGTTCTTTGCGAGAGACTGGCCAGAACCAAGTTGCTCCAAGTCACTACCAGTCTCGGAACCAGTACTGTCCTCATCGCTAGAAGGAGTATTGGCAGGGGCGTGGTCCTTACCGGTAGTGACTCTTGGCTTCTTAGGAGGCGCGACGGGCTGCTTTTCGACACGACCAGTAGCGACACGTCCCTTCTTTGGGAGCCCAGTAGCGACATTTCCCTTCTTTGGGAGCCCAGGCTTATCAGGAGCCTTCTTGGCACCACCCTCACCAGCGCGGCGAGTGCTCACCATTTTTGTCAGTAAGAAAAAAAAAAGCTTGGTGTAACTGGTAGCTAAAAATCAAGATTGTTAGGGATGCATCTCTTCAAGTCATGACTGGTCTTCATTCAGTCATTCTCGTCATGAATCCTCAGCAGTATGGCGGTAAAGGGAGACATAGGAGAATAGGTCATAACCAGTTACTTGATGCCGAAGAACTGGTGAGCACCGCTGAAGATAGAAAGGCATCCGGGCATAGCTAGTAGGAAGTAGGAAGGAAGGAAGGGTAATAGGGGTATGTCTGGGGACTTTTCCCCCTCCAATGGGCCCAGGTATCTCTCCAAAGCTCTCAGATCTTTCACTTTTGAGTTGCTGGATGCTTCTCGTAGTCGATATTGAGGTCATAAGAGGCCTGGGGAGACATTGTAGGGTCATGGAGGATCAAAAAGGATATGGTGGGGGATGGATACGTACCGGGAGTGGATGGAGGGGAGTTAAAGGAAGAAGAAAAATAGTAAGACTAAAATAAAGAAGTGAACAATATCATGGAGGTGAGGGTGAAGCATACTGCGTCACGTGATTACCCCGGATTTTGTTCTAGTAGTGACTGGTCAGAGAAAGTTTAAATTAATACTGAATATGTTTTTGCTACCTTCTAGAACCTCTCGGAAGCAACCAGTAACAAAATAGACGTTAATGAATCTCTAGACATGATTACTAGTGATATACTAGCTTCTGCTTGATTATTATTATACTAGTCATTATTGAGTCTCTGAATTAGAAGTAATCTATTCCTTCCTCTCACTACCAGTCATACTCAGTAATAGGTCATCAGGTCATCAGGTCATTCACATTTTTGATAAAATATGAAAATATCCATTTATCTAGTCACTACTGGTAGTGACTACAAAAAGCTCATCAGGTCAAAAAAGTGGGTCCAATTTCGACCTGATGAGCTTTTCGTGATCACATGACAAAAGTGGGAGTTTCAAAATTTTCAATTTACGGTGTAAACTACCAGTAATTACTGGTAATTACTGGGCATAACCAAATTGACCTCATCAGGTCATCAGGTCACCTGGTGACCTGATGACCTGATGAGCTACATACCCAACAAGATTCCCAAAAAACACACAACTGCTGCCACGGTGACCATCGAGAGGACCGCAAAGCCGTAAGAAGCCTGCTGAAAGGCGTGGTTCGTGTTTAGTGGCGGTACAGTGGCGCCGACCTGCATCGCCGTGAGCACGAGGGAAAAATATACCAGTACAATGAGTATCCAGGCGAAATTCCTCTGGAAGAAGACGACATAGCGGTTGTAGCCGTACAAATAGCCGCGAATGAAGTGCGTGAAGAAAAATCGAATTCTATATATAGAATTGATCCTTCCTAATCGCAGCTCGCCAAAGTGGTAGCGTTTATTGACCTGTTCGAGAGTATTTGCATCGATATGTGACAGAAATTCTGCCACGAAGCTCTTCCACCAGATCCACGTTATCTCACACGGAAGGAGATCTAGCTTGTGAGCTAATCTTAAGTCAAGAGGAGAGCAGACCAACCAAACATAGGAGAGCAAGATTCCACAAGCGGATTTATGAAGCTCCTCCGATTCGCAGAGATATTTGTCCCAGAAAATGAAATCCAGCATATAATCCGGAAGCGGCTTGACGAAGATCTTGTTTGAGAACTTGAGGAGGTGGAGGTCCGCTTGCTCTGTCAGGAGGACATCGAAACCCATCATCTTCTGTCGGTGTATCGGCCTGGCATTTAGAGGTCTCCCAGCCATCCACAGATGCCCATGTATTCTGTTGAGCCGGGTGTGGTCCAAGTCCCGCTTTAGATACGTCTCTATATCCTCTGTGACCAAAAAGACCCGGTTGTCCTTATCCCGGGAAATAGCCGGCAAGTTCACCAGCAAAAGAGAACAGGAAGTAGGTATAGGTGTGCTTTTTAGCTGCGGCTGGATATCACAAGCGGGCGGTAGTTTGTGGTCATTTGCAGTAAAATTTTGACGTATACTGCCAGCGGGATCCGCTGGTGGTGTTATGGGGCTATATCGAATGGGATCTTAAGGACAACGCTAGCAGGATTAATTGGCGGTGACAGGGGCCCATCAGCTGTAGGACCTTGAATGGCATAGCCAGAGGGATTGGCTGGTCTTGGTATTTGCAAGGAAAAGGGAGGCCTCAATAGTCTGTTCTGCGCGGCATCAGTACCCGATGTTTGCATGTTTACCACAATGGCTAAAACCGTAAAAGCTACACGGCTGGCTCCGAGAAATTTTACCTTATTTTCCACCATCTCATGAGTCTCTTGAAATGAAGTAGGATGTGCGATAAAGATTGAAGTTAAAGAGATAGACTACGAATAAATACGAGTCTTCGAAGAAGTGTACGTCCTCTGGCTTTTTTATCACCCAACAGGAACGCGCACCGAAAGCAGCTGACTCAGAATCCGATTCGATCAAAGTGAACCAGCCTAGTCGCGGCCAGCTTGGCGCCGTCTCATAACAGTCATTCAGCTGACTGTATTCCGACTAATCGGACTCTTAACACATGGCTGCAGCTCTATGTTACATGGCGCTTTGGCCGCACAAAAGCCATATGCGTGCAGGTTACTAGGTGGGAGGTCTAAGCTTTCAGGCTTCCTTAGTATCCATGGACTTGCCTTTACCATTCAGGGGCTAAAATAACCCTTTACTCCGAACGACAGCGGATGTTAACCACTTACGATTGGTGATTGATTCTAGGTAATCTGCGGGATCTGTAACTAATGCGCCCGTGTTGGGAGCTCATCAAGGCACGGTCCGTTGTGGAGATGAATGAATTATTTACGGTCGGTTTTGGGCGAGTCTCCTCTGACAGTGCTGGGTCTAGTCCTTTCCAGAAATCCAGGCCGTTTCTTTTTCATCAGTACGCTCTATTCGCTTCTGAAAATCTAATAGTGTCCTTAGAGAAGAGAAACCAAGACCACGGGATTGCTTTCGCCACAAAGTATCCATTTTTCACGGGTCCGGTTAGACTGAAATTAATTCGCGCCCCCGCCCTCTAACCACTCAAGAAGCAAAAATGGGGGCTGGGCTGGAAGACGGAAAGGATGGCGCGAGACACGGCAGGTTTTAGCCGAGGAGCCACCTCAGCTCTCTAGGGGCATGTAGGGCATTTAACGTAATTCCTGGCCAATCTAGACACCCGGCCGTCTTGGACACCTGCCCCAATTAGAAATTTTGAATTAGAATATCTTAACCAAAATACCTAAATTGAATTTAATGTAGCGATGTTTACATGAATTGATCCTATAGCCAATCTCCCTACACCCACTCCACCTCGGCGGAGCCCTAGTACCTCATCTGATTCAACCCGCTGATCTAGCTGCTGAGGCAACTGTAGGCCCTCTTCGACCGTTAGGCCACCTTCGCAGGGTATCTACCTAGTTGATCGTTCACATTTCTGGCGTTTCTTGTTCGCTGCGCGTAGATTCGCATTATCTTGCGTTAGCAGCGCAATGTTGTGTAGCGATATGTAGTGGACCTTGATGATCTGATCTAGCAGGGTTTTGATAGGCTCGGAGGGCTATTTAACCATTGCTTTAGTAATTTCTTAAGCATCGAAGCCTACATTTTTAGCTGAACGACAGTCCTAGGTGTTTTGGTGTGAATTGGCTAGATCTAGTGCTTGGCCAGCTTCCTGTTGGTGTTGGCGTTCGTAGGGGAGATATCAAGTTTTGAAAGCACCCTTTCTGTATCGATTAGTACTAGACTAGTAGCCGCGAAGCTATTTTGAATAGTACTTAGTTAAAAGGCTTCTAACCGTGTGCGTTAGTAATCGTCCAAGAAATCAAACTTGTCGATATGGCTATAGCCCGTACGCGCAAAATCGCGTGAAGGGCTAAGACCCAATTGATTCAATTGGGTGATGCCGGTAATCTGTCCATCGAAAGCTTGAGGAAAAGTAAACACATGGGGGCCTCCTGAGAGGCTCAATGTAGAAGTCTTCATGTGACACACGTGATCAATCCGGCCCTGGCCCATTGCAGATATACTATGTTACTGTGAAATGGGCTGCGAAATCCGACTTTGCCACCTCCTTGTGGTGCAGCCTGGTAAAGTCGCCTTAGCGATGGCTAAGAGCAGAGCGGCATCTTTAGGCTCCTATGAGCCTCGACTCTTTCGGCTCCCCGTGAGCCTCGCCTCCGCAGGTTCTTCGTGAGCCTCGCCTCCGCAGGTTCTTCGTGAGCCTCGACCTCCTTCAGCTCCCCGCGAGTCTGATCTCCCTCAGCTCCCTGCAAGCCTCGCCCCCTTTTGGTTCTTCGTGAGCCCCCTCAGAGAGGATCCACTCCCTCTCTATCCAAAGCGTTACCGACATCTGTGGAGGTCTTTTTCCCCCTCCCCTACGGGTTTTGGGTTGTTTTCCCTCTGCACCATCAAGGCCGTCTTCACATAGATAAGTGGCGTGGCATCTCTAGGGAACGGCAACACCGCAGGATCAGGGACCTGGGATCTACGGTTTTATTGGGAATAATTTCATTGTTGTTCATTGTTGGAAAAACTAGGCCTGGTACTCTGCGTATGGGGAACCAGGTCAGGGTAGCGCCCGGGGCCCTTCTACTCTTTCAGCGCTTAGTGCTCAGCTTTGTTACTTCAGGCTTCTTGCTTAGGTAGCACGTCCACCCTTCGGGAGGTGTGGGTCACGCTGGCACGTGACCCGCCGAGCGACGTTAAATAGTAATCCAATCCAATCCAATCCAATCCAATCCAATCCAATCCAATCCAATCCAATCCAATCCAATCCATGTCGTGTTAATGTGAAATCTGCGCCTGAGCATTATGAGGTTAAGGCTGATGACGGGAATGAGGATGACCTGGTAGTGCCATTACCCAGGAAAAATAGTACACAACAGCATGTTCCGCAGGGGTACGAATCCCATCTACACGGCTTCAAGGTTACATTACATAAAGAATAAAGAATTCATCTGGCATTGATCTATTTTCGTTGGTTCCTTATAAGTTATTAATAATACAAAACAGACGTAAT